CATCATTAAAGGTTACAGAACCACACGTCGTAAGGTCAACTGCTTGTGAATATAAGAAAGCCACAATTCTAGCACAACACTTGTCACCAGAAGCAGGGTCAGCCCTGGTTAGTATTGGGCTCTATAATAATAATAATAATAATAATAATAATAATAATAACAACAACAACAACAATAGTCTTTATTTATACCCCCCACCATCTCCCCAATGGGGACTCAGAGCGGCTTACATGAGGCCAAGCCCAGACAACAAATTACAATAGAATAAAACCGAAAACACCAACCGAAAACACAAACAATAAACAACAACATCATAATTACATAAAACATGTGAATACATAATATAAAATTATAATAATCACAATAACAATGGGTGGGCTACATGTAATGATTAAAAGATAAACTAATTAAAACTAATTAAAAACTCGGGCGAGATAATAGAGAGACAGATTATTTCAGAGGAAGGCACCGGCAAAACTATCTCTGAATATTCCTTATCAAAGCAAACACTATGAAATTAATGGGATTGCCATAAGTCACATATTGTGTAGCACATGAGAAATCTAACTACTTCAAAGAAACCTAAAAAAAGAGAGTCCTTGCATGAAGATTTGATCCAAAGTGGCAGGTGGGTGGGGTCTACCCCTGCAATGATCATTGTGGCCAGGTTTTCCAAGCCCCCTTCCTTTCCTAACAGAAGAACAGGCTCCAAATGCCATCTTACCCTTCCACTTTCCACAATCTCCTTCTGCAGATTCGTAGAGGTCATCACAAGGAGCCTGATGGCCTGAAGGAGAGGAAAGTGACAGGCAATTGGAATCAACAGAAAGACTTGTTTAGACTTCCAGTACAATCAAGCCTCGGCCCCACATTAGGAACCTTCCAAGGTTGCTAATGGTAACATTAACTATTCATAACGTGTCCCAAAGGCCTAGGGATCTGATCAAGCAGATAGAAGTTACCCTCCCGCCATCCGGCTATCTGGCACCACACAGATCTGTTCATGTACTTAGCAGGGTCTTAAAATAATGTAAAAGGCACTCACCTTCATCAAATCTGTGCAAGAGTTCAAGATCCTGTGGGAAACAAGCAAGACAATGCATGAAATCTTTAGTGCATGAATAACATTTTAAATTGCTGGCTGTGTTGAAACCATTCCGAGAAAGCGTCAACAATAATAAATCCCTCTTTCAGTCAGGAGGTAATTGCATCTTGGCACTTCTGCATTAAAAGCATGCCCTCTCCCATCAAAACATCACACGTCAGCTCACCTTTCGTTTACTTCCAGTTTAACACCAGAGCTCTCAATTCTGGCCTGGTTCATCATTTCCTGCAAGAGAAATGGGGACAACAATTGTATTCAAGGAGATACCACTGAATCAGAATACAAGCAGAGTCCATCACCATCAAAACTATACCCAAACAATCGCTAAAGCAGTGCTTCTCAACCTGAGAGTCGGCACACTGCGGGAGGTGTCAGAGGGGTCGCCAAAGATCATAAGAAAACACAGTATTTTCTGTTGGTCATGGGGGTTCTATGTGGGAAGTTTGGCCCAATTCTATCGGTGGGGTTCAGAATGTTCTTTGATTGTAGGTGAACTATAAATCCCAGCAACTACACCTCCCAAATGTCAATGTCTATTTTCCCCAAACTCCACCAGTGTTCACATTTGGGCATACTGAGTATTCGTGCCAAGTTTGGTCCTGATCTATCATTGTTTGAGTCCACAGTGCTCTCTGGATGTAGGTGAACTACAACTCCGAAACTCAAGATCAATGCCCACCGAACCCTTCCAGTATTTTCTGTTGGTAATGGGAGTCCTGTGTGCCAAGTTTGGTTCAATTTCATCAATGGTGGAGTTTAGAATGCTCTTTGATTGTAGGTGAACTATAAATCCCAGCAACTACAACTCCCAAATGACAAAATCAATCTCCCCAACCCCAACAGTATTCAAATTTGGACATATCGGGTATTTGTGCCAAATGTGGTCCAGTGAATGAAAACACATCCTGCATATCAGACATTTACATTATGGTTCATAACAGTAGCAAAACTGCAGCTGTAAAGTAGCAATAAAAATAATTTTGTGGTTGGTAGTCACCACAACACGAGGAACTGTATTAAGGAGTCATGGCATTAGGAAGGTTGAGAAACACTGCTTTAAAGCCATCAAAGGGAGCTCTCAAACACTGCATTTTGTGATACCAAATTATGTATTCTGTGAAGAGGAGCTTCCTTTTGCTCTAACCAGGAGAAGGGTAGTTAAAGGACATATAAGTGGTGGGAAAATCAACCAGGTCATTCCTCTCACCTCTATCCTTCTGACGGCATCTTCAATTGCAGCCGAAGTGGAGGCCATCTCTTTATCGACCATGTCGCCCAGTTCCTCTTGCCGGATGTCTAAGCTTTTGGGCCTTAGTTCCTTTCCAAAAAAGCAAGTGAAAACAAGTTTAAACATTTTGCTTCCTGAGGCAAAGCAATAAATGATACCCTGCTTACATCAATGTTCAAATTACAAGAAAGGAGATTCCACTGGAACATTAGGAAGAACTTCCTGACTGTAAGAAGAGCTGTTCAACAGTGGAACTCTCTGCCATGGAGTCCGGTGGAGGCTCCTTCCTTGGAGGCGTTTAAACAGAAGCTGTATGACCATCTGTCCAGAGGGGGAGCTTTGATTGTGCTTTCCCTACATTGCAGAAGGGGGTTGGATTGGCCCATGTGGTCTCTTCCAATTAGAATTCTATGAAGGTGTTTAGTGTCCAAAGACAGCCACATTACTTTGACATTGTATCCAAAGCATTTCTATGTATATTTTCGGTTTTAAATTGTGTTGCATTTGTTTAATTGTGAACCGCTTTGAAGCTCTTTTTTTAAGACCGAATAATAATATAAATGATACATTTATGATAACAACATTTATGATAATCCTTGCTGACAAGGACAGTGACAATGATGACAATTGCTAAGGAAATTGACTATGGACATGCTTGATGGAGTCTCTAACTACAGAATTCGGCTCAGATAAGGCCACCAGGCTGTTATTGAAACAGAAACAGATTTTAATTAATTAATGTGATTTAATGTTATAAATGTATGTAATTATTGGATTTTATTATGTATTTTATTATGTGTCCATTGGAGGCATCAAATTGTTGCCGACCGGAAGCCGCCCTGAGTCCCTCCCCCCTCCCCCCAGGGGTTGAGAAGGGCGGGGTACAAATACCTGAAATAAATAAATAAATAAACAACAACAGCCAAGTGACTGTGGCACTGAAAGCAGATCGACCATGTTAAGTAACAAAACATTTTCCTCCCTTTCATGACACCAAAGATCTGTGTCCTGTATCACTTTTCCAAAGGCCAGAATTAGCCCCGGACTGAGGATGAAAAATCAAAGCTAGGGACAAAGGGAGAATGCCAGTGGAGCCATGAATTATGCTCTGTTATTGAAAGAGCAGTGCTACCGTTTGCGTCCTCTTCGCCACCAAAGCCACCAAGCAAAGAATGATGAACTCTTTATTTCCCAGGAGAGTATTCCCTTCAGATTGTGCCTCATCAGCAGAAGCCTTGCATCTGTCTCTACCTGTCCCAGCTGAAGAAGGCCCTGCAGCATTCTTCTGACATCCTCTGGATCTGCATGTTGAAGAGACTGCTTGTCTTTGAGCTTCTTCAGATAGTCCAGACTCCGCTGCCCACAGTCCCTGCACGTTTCAGTCAGTTCTGGCAGAAAGAGAACAAAACAGGAATGCTAAGCACAGAAGAGGAGAAGATGGCCTTCCAATGAGTTTATGTTGGACTCAAATCAAATTCCATGTTGTATCATTGTGCAGATCTCAGTCCCATTCAAATATTGTGGCAGGAGCTGAAGTCACATAAGGCAGCCTTCAAATGTCACTAAGCAATTCGACAAGGAGAAGGAGGCCAAATTCCTTATATCGATGAGACAGGAAGACCAATAGTTTCAGAGAATGCTGACCTGAAGTCGTTGCTTAGGGGGAGGCTACAAGATACTAAATTGAAAGCTTTCCCTTATAGATATAGACTGTTGAATGGGCTGTGGCGAAATAAAATGTATCATGTTTGCATCTCATTTGTTTAATAAAGCAGTTCATCGTTCCTTATCTAGGATGGCGGTTGGAAATAGGAGACAGCCCTAATGGGTTCACAAAGTTCCTCTCGCCACTGTAAACATTAGGTTGTTGTAGGTTTTTCGGGCTATATGACCATGTTCTAGAAGCATTCTCTCTTGACGCTTCACCTGCATCTATGGCAGGCATCCTCAGAAGTTGTGAGGTCTGTTGGAAACTAGGAAAATTGGGTTCATATATATGTGGCATCTCCAGGGTGGGAGAAAGAACTCTTGTCTGTTGGAGGTAGGTGTGAATGTTTCAATTGGCCACCTTGATTACCATTTGATGGACTGGCAGTTTTTAGGTGTGGCTTGTTAGTGCCTGAGGGAATCTTTTGTTGAGAGGTGATTAGCTGTCCCTGATTGTTTCCTGTCTGGAATTCCCCTGTGTTTGAGTGTTGTTTTACTGTTATAATTTTAGAGTTTTTAAATACTGCTAGACAGATTTTGTTAATTTTCATGGTTTCCTCCTTTCTGTTGAAATTGTCCACATGCTTATGGATTTCAGTAGCTTCTCTGTGTAGTCTGACATCATGGTTGTTAGAGTGGTCCAGCATTTCTATGTTCTCAAATAATATGCTCTGAGGATGCCTGCCATAGATGCAGGCGAAACGTCAGGAGAGAATGCTTCTAGAACGTCTACATCTGAGAAACACATCACAATTCTGAAGAAAACAAGCTTCTTTCTAAAGAGCAGGGCTGGGAAACCCGTGGCCTCCCGATACTGCGAGACTGCAAATCCCAACAGTCAGAGAGCTGCAGTCTAACATCATTTGGCAGGGCACACATTCCATTTCCATTGCAGAGGATTCATGAAGCAGCCATCGTCTCTGAAGGAGCCTCCTCTAAAAGTATCCTTGGCAGGACAGGTTTTATTATTATTTATAATAATAATAATATTTATTTATTTATTTATTCATTACCTGCCTCTTCTTGTGGCTCAAGGCAGGGTACATATAACAAGTATGCACAGGTAAAATGCAGATTCACAAGTTAAAAAAAGATTCAATATTAAAAGTCTGCGGCTTTTTTGGTTGTACAGATTGAGCATCCCTTCTCTGGAATTCTGAAATCCAAAATGGTCCAAATCAGGCGTCCTCAAACTAAGGCCCGGGGGCCGGATGCGGCCCTCCAAGGTCATTTAGCCGGCCCTCGCACAGGGTCAACCTAAGTCTGAAACGACTTGAAAGCAAACAACAACAACCGTATCTCATCAGCCAAAAGCAGGGCCACACTTTCCATTGAAATACTATTAAGTTTATATTTGTTAAAATTGTTCTTCATTATTATTGTATTGTTTTAAAGTGGGTTTTTTTTTTTTGCACTACAAATAAGATATGTGCAGTGCGCATAGGAATTCATGTTTTGTTCAAATTATAATCCAGCCCTCCAACAGTTTGAAAGACTGTGACCTGGCCCGCTGTTTAAAAAGTTTGAGGACCCCTGGTCCAAAATGGTGCTCTTATGATATTTCAATGGTCACAAACTTTGTTTAATACAAAAAAAATTATAAAATTATTTTCAGGACAGTTGTATAAGGCGTATGTGAAACATGAATGAATTTCATGTTTAGACTTGGGCGCCATCTCCGAGATATCTCATTGTGTATCTATGCACAAATATGGATACAGTATTCCAAAATCTGGAAAAACATCCAAAATCCAAACCACTTCTGATCCTAAGTAATGCTGTAACCCATCTCAAGCTGTGAGGAGAGACAGGCAACAAATAACAACAGCAGCAGCAGCAGCACTATATTTGTATTCTGCCCTATCTCCCTGAAGGAGACATAAGACATAAGGCAAACATTCAATGCCTCGAAACAATGAAACACAAATACACAGATAAAGGTAAAGTCTTCCCCTTCATCTCTGGCTCTGGGGATGGAACTTATCTCCACTTCAGAGCCCAAGAGCCTGTGTTGTGCGTAGATACCTCCTAGGTCATGTGGCTGGCATGACTGCATGAAGCACCGTTTACCTTCCTGCCAAGGTGGTACCTATTGATCTACTTATATTTGCATGTTTTCGAACTGCTAGGTTGGCAGAAGCTGTGGCTAACAGTGGGAGCTCATCCCATCCCATGGATTTGAACCACCAACTTTCTGGTCAGCAAGTTCAGTAGCTCAACGGCTCAATCTGTTGCATCACCGAGGCCCCAGAATAATAGAAATAAAACTATTATTATTATTATTATTATTATTATTATTATTATTATTATTGGTGTCAGATCAGGGATACTCAACCTGTATCACTTCATACTGCATGCAGGATTGGTGATATCATTTCTGAATGTTCCCTCTTGATAAAATGAAACAGAAAAAACCATTACTGTTTACTCACTGTCAGCATGGTCTGTGGGCGCCAGATGGGAAGTCGCACTGCCGTTCACAATGGTGTCTGCAGTCAGGTGGGAAAACTGGGCCAAGGCAGCAACCAGTCCAGTGGCATCTTTAAAGAGAAGAGGAGAGATGGAAATCCAGGAACAACACAACAGGATTGCCCATCTCATCTGAGAAAACTGGGTGGAAATTACTCTTTGAAGGTGCAGAATAGAGTGAGGGATGGGGTAGGGAGAGAAGCATCTGAAGAGAAAGCATTTGAGAAAATTAGAGGAAGGGTTTGGGGAACAAAACGGCACTTTGCTTGCAATGCTGGGTCCTCCCACTCCCCAACCTCTGAGGGACAAGAAAGAAGGGGTGGCAACTTGGTCGCCTTTACCTGCCATGTTGGACAGGTACTGCCCATGCCCCCTCTCCAAGGCGTTCACCGATTCCAGAGCTGCCTGCGCACGACTGATGAGGTAATCTGAAGAGAGGAAAACAGGCCATGAGAGAACGAAAGACTGGCATCTTTTGCACAAATTCCTCTTCTTGTGGCTGGAAAACACAGTTGGGTCCAAGCTCCCGAAGGCCATTGCCAAATACAATGGGATTGGTTTTAATGTATAGGTGTTGTGTTCAAATTTTACTGCATATATGTTGTGTTCAAATTTTATGCAATGTTTTTTACTTACTCTGTATGTTTTGTGCTTTTACGTTTTGGAAACTGCCCTGAGTCCCCTAGGGGAGATAGAGCGGTATACAGTGGTCCCTCACTACTTCGCGGTTTGCTTTTTGCAGACTCGCTGTTTCACGGTTTTTCAATAAATATTAATGTAAAACATTTACTGTGGTATTTTCGCTGTTTCGCGGTTTTTTGTGGTACTTAGTAAAACAACAATCTCCTGCCCTCGGTTGGTTCTTTTTGGTGTGACACCCTTATCCCCCTGCCTTTCAGGTAAGTAGGAAGCATTCAGCGGCCTATACAACACCAAGCACAAACAGGCACGCTCAGCAAGGCCTGGCCCATCCGCCAAAGTTGCCGTGCTC